ATAGGTCCTTACACAAATAAGTTACAGAAGGGAATTATTTGGAAAGTAATTCAGTGAAAAGGCAGAAAAATCATCTCCTAAATAAAAGATATGACGACATCGCAGTTCAACGCTGAACCATTTTAAAAAATAGCTAAATAAATACACGATTTTGGACTCCCAGAACTTCCACAGAACACCTCGTTAGAACAGATTTCTTTTATGTAATTGGTGGGGGGGTAGGGAAGAACCACCTCTCATCTCATCTCATCCACCATCAGCTTTTTCCTAACATACAGGAAATCTTACTAGCCGTAAGGACACAAGCGGACCAGCTGCCATGCACATGGTGGGTCTTTTGTGTAAGGAAAAAACTGCTGGGAATAAAAACCTGCCAGGAGAACCCTCTACAAACAAAGTACTTCTGAAAGACACCCTTGGATCTGCTGGTAGGCCCTGGATTCTGAGGGATCACTGCATTCAGTTCGGCAGCACGGAGCCTGCACCGTCAGAGTGAGGAACAGACAAGCCCAACAGGATGGCAGGAACCCAACCAGGGAGCCCAAGGGGCAGAGAGGAAAGCAGAGGAGGTGGAGATGCAGAGAGGTAACAAAAGCCAACACAGAGAAACCAACCAGCACCTTGGTTTATTGCTCGTTTCAACCACTGCAGACATCCATTTCCAGTCTTTTTTGGGGGGCCTTCCTTGTTTGGAGGTGGGTTGGTTTTTTTTCAGGGCTTTTGGTTGGTTTCTTTGGTTTGCTGCAGGTGCAGAGAGGTAACAAAAGCCAACACAGAGAAACCAACCAGCACCTTTGTTTATTGCTCGTTTCAACCACTGCAGACATCCATTTCCAGGCTTTTTTGGGGGGCCTTCCTTCTTTGGAGGCGAGTTGGGTTTTTTTCAGGGTTTTTGGTTGGTTTCTTTGGTTTGCTGTAAGTTGTTTTGTTGGTTTCGTTTTTTTTTTTTTTAAGTTTCATGGGGATTTTCTTTTAGGTTTTGGGTTGCTTTGTCTTTTCTGTTTTCTTCAACATCAAAGCTTGAATTAGATTTAAAAACATGAAAAAACCCCAAACAGTTCTGGACATTTGTTCACACGTGTGTGTTTACATGTGGAAGTGCTGGAGCGTGTCCAGAGGAGAGTCACGAAGCTGGGGAGGGGTCTGGAGAACAAGTCCTACGAGGAGAGGCTGAGGGAACTGGGCATTTTTAGTTTGGAGAAGAGGAGGCTGAGGGGACACCTCATTGCCCTCTACAACTCCCTGAAAGGAGGGTGTAGAAAGGTGGGGGTTGGCCTCTTCTCCCAAGGGAATAATGACAGGAGCAGAGGAAATGGTCTGAAGTTGGGGCAGGGGTGGTTTAGATGAGATATTGGGAAGAATTACTTTATTGAGAGGGTGGTCAGGCACTGGAACAGCCTGCCCAGGGAGGTGGTGGAGTCACCATCCCTGGAGGTGCAGACGTAGCACTTCAGGGTATGCTCTAGTGCCTGAGATTGTTGGGTTGTGTCTGTGTTTTTTTTGTTGTTGGACTCACTGATCTCAAAGGTCCCTTCCAACCATGAAGATTCGGTGATTCTGTGATTTTTTTACCATGGAAGTATATGAACACTAGATGCAGGATTTAATTGCTTGGATATTCCTCCTCTCCTAAATCTTATTAAGACATCAGAGCTTATCAGAATTACCACAATACTCGAAAGCGTTCATAAAGAACCTATAAATGGACTCGGCTATACTCAGTTTTAAAATATCTTGCAGGAACACGTGCTGTAGGTTCAGAAATTGGCAGCTTTGATAAGGTGCCTGCATTACTGCATGCAATAGTTCAGAGGCACAAACAATGGAAGTGAATGATGGATTATACTGGTAAAGTTACATAACCACCAATTTGGGCTTTAAAACCACGTTTCGGAAATATTAGGGACTATGTGATTTTGCAGTCGAGATGTTCCGGAAGAAAGAAAAAAAAAAACCACCTGCAGATATCAGGAATTGTGGATTCTGAGCAGATTGCAAATCCGAAATGAGATCCCAACCCACACGTTCTGCGTGTAGTCAACAGCAGGCAAAATACTCTATTTTTAACACTGCATGCACTGTGAAGACATTTCTTATATATTTATACGTCTACTACTGCAAACATATTGCAACTTGTATTTTTGCTACTGGAACCATACCTTAGTTTTCCAGCTTACATTGGAGCTCTCGCTGCTTTCATACCAAATCTGTCTCCTCATCTGTTAAAGAAAGGAACTTCTCCACTAAATACAAAATTGGGGTTTTAACCAATGTTCTTGGAGTGACTGTATTTGCTAAATGTATTTCCATGCCCTTTTTCTGTCTATTCAGTGCATTAAAATGAATATAGTTTAGCACATGCCAAATGCTAGAACTACGTACATCAATCAAAGCTCTGCCAGAGAGGAGACTTGCTTCTTTTAAGGACAAATCATACATATTTTATTTATAAATAGATGACTGCTTATTTACAGCTTTTTTTATGCACTGGTATCGATGGCTTTTGAGGTAAGAACCCACTATAAATACATTTTGGGTTAAAAAAAACCCCACCTATAACATTTTTGCTTGTATCTCTTCATGACAGCTTATGCGATGTGTGCTTTAAAAAAAATAACATAGATAACTACGTTTTCTATTTTTCCTGGCCCTCCCTTGCTCTTCTAAAATAGAAACTTAATAAGCAAGCCCACCTCTGTATTAAAAATAACATTGAATGGGAAGATTAAAACCCAAATCCTCTACTTTCAGAATTGTGTCATCCCGTGTTTTGTTCTCCAAACACCAGCAAGCTTTATCCAGCACATTAACTGTAAGAGGGAGTTTAATACCCAGCCAGGAGAGTGTTTTTCATTACGACCAGAACCTTGCAATAAATAAAGCAAGCAGACAGGCAGAGAGCACCCCATTATCAAGAGGCAGCAAGCTGAGCAGAGAAAATGCCTGGTGAATTTAGGCTTTTCTAAGTATTGCACGAGGGGAGGAGGAACAACCCTTGGAATTCTTTTTGGAAAATAACTTCAACATGCAATTTGGTACCAAAGGCACAAAACAAATCTCATCTAGTTTTAAACGCCGGCTGGGAAACGGCAATGCTGGGGCGAACCAGCATCATACATAGAGTTGGAATTAAGGAATTGAAAGAATTTCTGCAACAGGATAAAGATACCATTAAATGACAATGCCAGGAACAAGAGTCAATTGAAAGAATTTCTGCAACAGGATAAAGACACCATTAAATGACAATGCCAGGAACAAGCAAAAATACGGTGGAAGCAAAAATTCAGTCCTTTTGCACTGTCATGAAACAAAGGAGATGAAGTACATTGTTTTAGAGGAGATAAGAAAGGTTACGTGACGGCGTAAGCCAAATCCAGAGCTACAATCTCCAGTCTTCCTTCTCCATCTGAACTCTTTGACTCCCACGTTCCTTCTCATAGGCTTACATAATTACTGCTCATGACCACTATAATTTATAGCTGTAAAAGCTTATCTCAAGACAGAGTTAAGGCTGAGAGCCCAGACAATTAAGTACAAAACATTACAGAGATATTAGAGTTATTTCAAACAATGGGGCGATCCATGTGCCGTCGCTATCTAACGGCAGAGGGGAAGCTTATCAACGTCTTCAGCCATTTGTGTTTGTTGATGCAGAGCTGAAGCAGCCCTGGCTTTGTGTGTGCAAGAAGGAAAACAAAAACCTATCAAAAAGAAAATTATTCCTGCGCAGAGCTGAAGCAGCCCTGGCTTTGTGTGTACCAGAAGGAAAACAAAAACCTCCTATCAAAAAGAAAATTATTCCTGTGCCAATCATAGCAGGAAAAAGTCCTTTAAATGCGTTGCATCAGGAATTCATCACTGACATCAACAAGTTTGTGTTGCTGATTCACAAACATTCCGTACAGCTTTTCTTTACATTGAAGTTTTTAAGGAGCCAATAAACAAACATTGAATCTTCACCTAAGACAAGGAAATGCAACAGAGATGGTAGGGATGTCTGCAGGACCTTGCCCACCTCCAATTAACCTTCCAATGGCAGCTGTTCCTCCAGCATGGAAGCATCAAAGATGTTTTCTTCTGGTGGGAAGCTTTTTTACATGCAGAACGTAAGCATTTATAACTACACGCATCACCTCTAAGAGCTAACTTACTCTTCCCTAAATAGAAAAATTACATAAAAGTTATTTAAAAAAAAAAAAATCAAGATGAAAAGTTTGGAGAGGATCCAGCTCATTATTAAATCCTTGCAAAGCCTGGTTCAGTAAGGAAGTCCCTGATTCAAGCCTAAAGGTCAAAAAAACACTTTGATAATTTGAAACATCTGCCATGTGAGAAGAATTAATTGCAGCTACATTCAGTTTTAAATAACTATGGTCTGTCCTAACCCCCTTCTTGAACACATAATACAGAACCCAGGTGGCAAATCAGATTCCCAGAAGGGACAGAGAGACAAGCTAAATACTTGTTGTGAAGGAGGGCAGTGTTTTGGAACATATTTCACACAACAGTGGGTACTACCAACATATGCAGGTAATGCTTTATTGACATAAAACTCAAGAGGATTGTCATTTGCTAGAAAAACCAGCCGCTGTATCCGGTGGGGGAGAACAGGCCAGAGCATAAACTGAATTTGAAAACAAAACAAGTCCTTACCCTCATGCCAAGTACCAAAAAGCCAATCTCTTCCATCAGCGGGTACTTGCTGACCTGCTGCTGTATCTTCTCAGCTGAAGCATACGGATCGTAACTTTTCTGACCTATTTTTACATCCATTATGCAAGGCTTATTAAACTTACGGGTCACATCTTCCAGTTTTAGATAGGTATCTGTTAAAAAGACAAAACTTTCATAAACAGTGGATCAAAGCAAAACAATCACAGGGTTTCTGCTGAGCTTCTGGGGACAAAGGAGAATAGTTTAAGGCTTAACATCACATGAGCTCCTTAAGGGTCAAATTTGTCTCTGAACACAGACTAAATCACGGTCATTGACACCCACAAATTCTGCTGGCATTAAATTCTAAATGCTTTATTGTTTAGAAAATTGTACACAATTAAAGTGTGTTAACGTTGCACACGAATTCAAATTATTGCCCAGATGAAACTAATGAGGAGCGTTTATTAAGCCATTAGCATATTTCAAATAACATTAATAAGCACATAGAAATGCAGGTTACTACGTGGCTGCTTTTGCAATGGAGATGGTGTTTTCTTTCGCTGTGTGAAAGAGCTAGAATTAAAGTGGCAATTTTTCTTCGTGTCATTTTAAAAATGAAATTAACATTTCAGAGTCCTACCCTACAGGGGCCAAAATGCATCTCATTTTTCTTCTTTTTATCCCACTCCCCTCTGCACTCATTTCTCATGGCACACCTCTCGGTGAGAACACTCCTCAAATCCTAGGCTGCTTTTCATCTGTTTCCAAAAGTACCTTTGGGAGGGTGGGTGGACAGAAAAAAACAACCCCAAGCTCTTGGAGTGCCTGAAGATTTAAAGCAATATCTAAAACCTGGTCAAACTGGTTTATGCTTTTCTCCAGTGCAGGCAGGAGACTATTACCAACATGATCTACAGCACCGATTGTCAGAATGCAACAAAAAGCCCCAAAAACTTCAGTAACTGCTTGACTTGCAGACAACTCTGCTTGGAGGAAGCTCACAGAGATCTCCAGCCCTTACCAGAGCACAGTACACACCAAGACAACACCCAACATCAACACACGTCTCCTTCCTCACACCCGCTTCTGCAAATCCACCTTACAGTCACAGACTTTAATGTAAAGTCTTTACATTAAAACTTTAAAAACTTTATATTAAAGTTTGTGACTTTACATTAAAGTTTGGGTTTTTTTTTTTCTTTCAAGTACAGCCTATTCCGTGAGTGTGTTTCTTTGGCTTTAATGCAATCTGAATACACAAAAACATTGTGTTATTCCTGCTACTGCAGCAGCATCTAGAAGAGGATTGCCAAAGAAAGCAAAACCAGTTCAAGTTTAAAGAGAGAAGAGGGACAAAGCGCCTTGTTTTGATAGCTGTAGACAGGTAACAAAACCAGTTAGAGCCAAGAGAAAGGGAACAAGCAACATCCCTTTTCTACTTAACAAGTAGAAACACTGTCTTACGGATAAGAATGGATAAGGATATGAAATGAACTGGATTTTATTACTTTTTTAAGTCCTACTTAGAGCTTCAATTTTTACACCATGATGATTGAATGACCCAATTCCCCAAAGTACGTATGTATCGATCTGAAATAGGTTTGGTTTCATCCTTAGATGCCTGCTTGATGTATAAATGGGACTAAACATGTTGTTGAGAGCATGTCAAGCCAATATACTATTGAAAAAATACCCAGTCTTCCTTTAACTCACTGTATGAGCTTGCATTACTTTTCAGTGTCCTTTGTGCTACAGAGTCAATCCGGCCACAACAATATAGACTCGCTCACCCATAGAACAGGTTTGTTGATTAAAACTGCAGAAATACCCAAGCTAAAATAACTCATGCTTAATTTTGAGAAGCACAGAAAATGGCTGCAGTCCTTTCACTACCAACTCCAAAATGCTTTGGATTATGTTACAAGCACCTCTGGACTCAAACTGTTACAAATACAAAATTATACAAACTGCAAGTTACCACAAATTATACAAATCATTTAGATGCAATGTTTCTATCAACTGGAAAATGTAACTTTATATAACATCTATTTCCATAATACAAGAAAGAGCTAACTCATAAAACCAACCAGCTTAAAAAGCAGAACTTAACCTCCCCAAACCCAGCATATTTCCCTTCAGACAACATGCAAGCAGGATAGTCATGCTCTTCCCATCTGAAGCATTTGTAGAGCACCCATGGTTATCCCCTGCCCTCTGCTCCACTGGTCCAAATCTCTCTTTTTAAGCACACAGCACCAACATTCAGCACCTCCAAAATATTTAATGGTTCTAAATATCTGTCACTTTTTAGTTCACCATCTGTTTCAGACCGATTAAGCTAGAATCTCTCTCTTACTGACCTCCTAAAAATGTAACAATTGCTATTTTTAAAAAATTAAGCATTAAAATAACTCAGGAGCTAATGCTAACCCTAGGAAATACTAATTACTTGGCAAAGCCCGAGAATTATCCAGAAATTACTCATCTGGTACTTTTTGGAATTATAATTTAAGCCTTCATCATTAGCTACTACTAGATCAGAATTAAGACTATGTTACATCTGTTCAATGCCCACCCCCACTCCCTGAAAGCTTTTTGTCCTTGCAGGGAGAGCAATGCCACCACAAATAAAGCCTTACACCAAGTTATTTTTTCTCATTACAGCTTCAGAAAAAACGCATCGAGCGTTTACACTTCGTTTTTCCTGGCACTGTTTGGTTCTTATTTGCATTGGGCTCAACATCTACGGTCTACTGAAACAGATCCCAAACCCCCAGTACCAGAAGCTATCACAACTTTCAACACTTAACCCCTACAATATCTCAAAGCATAAGGCAAACAAAGCAAGTTTCAGATTCAGGTGCTCTCAGTGTCTTTGAGGATCTGAACCCCGAGGTCATCAACAAGTCTGCAGCTGAGCCTAGAGAACCAGAGAGTTCTCCTTCCTCATTTTGTTAAACACACACACAAAAAAAAAGCAAGCAGATTTTTCAAGCAGTTCAGATTTTCTAAATTATGATGGAGTACACTGCTAACCCAGTGTGCTTCTGAAAATCATGCATTAAAATCCCCTGCAGAGAAAAGAATTCATAAGGATTTTCCAATCTTAGCTTTGGGAGATAATCCTGATTGTGTATTTCAAGGATTTAAACAAATCATTCCTCAGAGGCTTGCCCTCCCCTTTTTTATTTTTCAGTAGGAGGGAAGGAGGCTGAAGATGTGGCTTGACGTGTTATTTACATATTTTACACAGTCCTGAAGAAGACAAACCAAAAAGACCACCAAAGTTCAGCAAGTATGCATGGCATGAACCACTTCAGACTCGGGCACGTACAGGCTGATGCTTTCAGTCCTCACTGGAATAAGAAGTAACTTGAGGCATCTGGTTGCTTCTCACAACATACAAGACATCCCTCAAAACATATGAATAAGCAGGGAAAAGCCTCAGTTGCTGACCTAAGCCTACGATGCTCTTCATGTCTACATGAACCTACTCAAACTCTCAACCCTCTACCCAAGGTGATACCTATGATGCTGTACATACAAGACACCACTCACCAAAGAGCTGCTCTTCTTCCTTATCTCATAAATAAAAGAACTTTATATGAAACAAGGACACCAATGGCCATCTTCTCTCTGTCCTGGCAAATCAGACAAGCCTTGTTCCTCCATACAAATGCTTATATATATATATATATATTTTTCAGAACATGCAGCAAGCACAATTTGGTAACTGATAGATTCTTTAATTTACTTTTTGGTTTTTTAGAAGTCACCTACGTCCAATTTAGCAACAATAAAGAATTACTGGGTTCACCACTCAGAGGCTGCCTGAAGCTGTGTCCCTAGACTCTGAAGAGCAGTGACTGCCAAAGGAAAGATTGGGCTTCCCATGTCAAGACTGCAAAAACCCACAAATACATCCTCAATCATAAACTTAATAACTAGACACCCTTCTAGCAGCCAGATTCCTTCCTCTAATGTCACAGACACACCATGGAAGCTAATCATGTTGTTCCATCTTTTGACCTAGAGCTTAGTCCACAGCTAATCTGGGGACCCATCCCTGATTTCCCCAAAACAGCCTCCCCTTGACCTCCCTCCTCTGTGTGGTTACTTCCCCCCTTCCTGTTTTTCAAAACTTGATTTCCTACTTTTTTACACAGTCTGAATGCAGCACTGGTGATTCTTTTCACCTCCGACGTCTTCTGGAGCCAAGTACGGACACACAAACACAGAGTTTCTCCCTCACACCTGGCATTAGCAAAACTGCATCTGCAAAAATACCCAGTAAACAACAGGTGACTTCCAAGGTGACCAGATGCCTCCTTAGCTTTGGATGGACCCAGTGTGCACGCGTTCTGCTGAGCTCCGTTATCTCCAATGCACTTCGCTTCTATCAAGACTGCACAAAACTCATTAAACTGCAGATAACGGAGTTGTTGGCAATGGAGTGTTTTGTTTGAACCCCTGCCACAGCTCTCCGTGAAGAGGGCTCCCAATAGCACGTAGTCATGTCAAAAAGCTAAACAAAACCAAAAGTTACTCTTCCTTTAAACAGTTATTCCTCCTGGCTACGCCTGGGCTACGGGTGGAGACCAGCTAAAATTCAGCCCCGTGATGCACAGTCCTAGCTAGTGAATTCCCAAGGTAAAGGAGGGGGTGTGTTGAATTACTGTATCTTGGGTTGACCAGGCATTTTCACATCTTAAGATCCTACTGTGAATAAAAAAAAAACAATAGACTTGCAGTTTGGAGGGGACATTTAAGTGAGCTCCATGACACATAAAATTATGAGGGAAGGAAAAAGACAGCTCCAAAAGAGCTATTTGAGTTAGTGCCAAGTACGAAAGTGTGAAGGCAGATGTGAGCCAAGAAAGCACTGGGTACTACCCCAATCCTCCCTGCATTCCTTTTCACAGAGTGTAGACAGTGTCTTTGGACACCATCTTACTCCTCTCTTTGGAAAACAAGTCTATCAAGTGGCAGCATAAGCAAAAGACAGCAGAGGTGTATTAAAGGAGCACAGCATCTAGTTTTGGTGCATTTAAATAGACTCAACAACATCCTTTTGTTTCTGGATGTTCCCAAAGCTCCATTTCCCCAACATGAATAAGAAAGAGCAGAAGAAAAACTAGTTTCTGTTTAAAATACATCACGGAATCATGAAATTGTTGGAGTTGGAAGGGACCTTCTAGAGATCATCTAGTCCAACTCCCCTGCCAAAGCAGGGTTGCCCAGAGCACATCACTCAGGAGCATCCAGGTGGGGCTTGAAGATCTCCAGAGAAGGGGACTCCACACCCTCCCTGGGCAGCCTCTGCCAGGGCTCTGCCCCCCTCACCCCAAAGAAGTTCTTCCTCAGATTTGAGTGGAACTTCCCATGGTCCAGCTTGTGCCCGTTGCCCCTCGTCCTGTCACTGGGAACCACTGGAAAGAGTCTGGCTCCCTCCTCCTTCAACCCACCCTTTAGATCCTTGTCAGCATTAATAAGGTCTCCCCTCAGCCTTCTCTTCTCCAGGCTAAAAAGTCCCAGCTCTCTCAGCCTTTCCTCATCAGGGAGATGCTCCAATCCCTCCATCATCATGACCTGTACAAACGACTATGCTCCATCTGCCCTGGGAGGAGGAACCCAACGACCTAATCCAGCCAGAGGACTCCAAACTGGTCGTCACAGGAAACATTAGTGGGTTACAAAACAAAATCAAAAAAACCCACCCCTATGGAGCTCACAACTGCCAAAAACCAGTCTCCAGAAGATTTTTCCAGGAGGTTTGGATTAACAGATAAAATTAGAACAGTACCATTTGGTGCAGTAGGTGGTGACCAGACACCGAAGTATTTTGGCAGATACTCCCGCAGCTCCAGAAGAACGCTGTCGCAACAGTCGGAGTCATAAACCTGAAATAAATTAGGGAGGGGTGGAGAGATCATCAGTTTAAAACATTCATTTTATACTTCCGATTGTCCCATAACTGTCATTTCTTACAGTCTTTGTTTTCATGCGTTTAAGATTTCTACTTCACATTTGAGAAACAGAGAAGATGAAGACGATAATTATCACAGTCCAACAGAAGTGAATGGTATCCTTCCTTTCAAATTTTAAAGTGGAGAAGATGAATCAACTCTAACTAAGAATAATGTATGGCTTAACTTGCATAAAAATCTAAGCTCTAACTGTTAGCATCGAAACCTATTTAGCAGAACGGGTGTCCTCCCAGCCTGGATCCAAGATGGTATAGAATTACTACACTTCAAAAGTGAATGGTATCCTTCCTTTCAAATTTTAGAGTTGATTCATCTTCTCCACTTTAATGTATGGCTTAACTTGAATAAAAATCTAAACTCTAACCCTTAGCATCGAAGCTTATTTAGCAGAATGGGTGTTCTCCCAGCCTGGATCCAAGATGGTATGGAATTATTACACTTTAGCGTATAGCTTTTAAGTTATATCAGGTAAAGTATACAAGCTCAGACTGGCTGGTATTTCCTCATTTCCTGCAAAGCTACTCATCCTGTAACTACACCACACAGCCAACATACAAGTCAAATATATTTCTTTTCATTCTCTTTAACGCTTTGAATGTTTTTTTCAACCCCTGTAAGAAAACCAAGAACAGTTTGGGAACAGCAGCCGGCTTGTCTTCCTGAAGGAGTAATTCTTCGCAGAGTTAAATCCCAGCCTTGGATACTATCTGCTACGGAATCGCATGACTGTCACCAGTTTGCTGTGATGTTGTTAAAAAGGGTTTCAAAACCATTCTCTCAACTGAATTCCCCCCAAGCGTATAGCTTTTAAGTTATATCAGGTAAAGTATACAAGCTCAGACTGGCTGGTATTTCCTCATTTCCTGCAAAGCTACTCATCCTGTAACTACACCACACAGCCAACATACAAGTCAAATATATTTCTTTTCATTCTCTTTAACGCTTTGAATGTTTTTTTCAACCCCTGTAAGAAAACCAAGAACAGTTTGGGAACAGCAGCCGGCTTGTCTTCCTGAAGGAGTAATTCTTCGCAGAGTTAAATCCCAGCCTTGGATACTATCTGCTACGGAATCGCATGACTGTCACCAGTTTGCTGTGATGTTGTTAAAAAGGGTTTCAAAACCATTCTCTCAACTGAATTCCCCCCATCCTGCCCCAAGATCTAGCTACAAACATCGGGGATCCAGCGTGGGCTCAGTGTGCTCTGCAGACTAAAAGATCTACGTCCACACAAGCAGAGGTCACGACGATTATTATTGCCTTTAGGAACCATCTCATCCCAATCCCCTTGCATCCTCTGCTTCTGATGTTCTCAGACCCATGTCCTGTCCCACAGCAACACCCATGCAGGCTGTGAAGGAGTGACCAGGACAAGCAGACAGAGCACAGGGACCACTCTCAGAACCTGCTGCAAAGTCAAAAGAGACGCAAAAAAAAATTACTGAAGGTGTTAAGAGAGCTCTGCAGGGTTGGCTCAGCCCATTGCTTCCAGATCCACATTTAACCACGGTAGGGTCATGTCTTGCAACAGAAACTACAAATACACGCCTTTAGCATTGTAATATTAACACATTTAGGGAGGAAAAAAACCCCGGACCTGAAGGCCAGCTGCTATTCTAGAGCATGAAGGCGAGCCTCAGCTACAATCCCCGATGCTGTGTAACTCTAGACAGAGCCTCGTGCAGCAGCAGCACAACGTTAAAATTAGTCAGTGTGGGTTTGTGCTAAATTTAGGTTTATCGTCGCAGAAACCTCAAACCGGGCAAACTCAAAATCACCACAGTGAGCTTCAAACACACAGAGCTGCTCCACAGCCCTTCAGGCACATCCCTGCTGGGGCTTTCCCGGGCTCCTACCGGCCACACTTCTCTCCCTGTCACTGGGCAGCGACCCAAGAGGTGATACAACCAAATCCACGCTGACTTTATGCTCAAGCATTTAATTTGGCCCATTTCTTTAACCAGCTCATAGCACAAACCCCATTTTTAAGATGCTAAGGAGGGGGTTAAATCCCCTCTGAGGGCTACAGGTAACCATACGGCTCAGCACATTTTCCCTCCAGCTGGCACACCAAAATCCTCCTCCTCTAAGACACAAAACCTTGCTTGTCCCTGGAATCAGTGGCCATTGTGTTTTTTTACCCACGCAACGCTTCTTTGCTGAGCCTCAGATGTTGCCAGACAGCAGAAGAAACTGTTTTCCTTAGAAGCCTGCAATGCAGTTTGATCTCACTAGCTTAAGGAAGAAAAAAAAAAAAAAAAAAAATTACAGGTGGGAGAGAAGAGAGTGTCAAAAATTAGCACCATGCAGGTGCTGAGGCACAGATCCAGCCACTGCTGCCTTTTTCATAAGAGTTCACCATTCCCCACCTGCTTCTGGGCCAGGACTCCAGTCATGGACTGGTGGAATCACATCACACTGTGGGTACTTTCAGACAGGCAGTACAAAAGCCAATTTTTGTTTGCTGTGGTAGTTTTTATTATCACAGCACCCCACAGCCAAGGCAGGGAATGGCATAGCACCCAGCACAAATTCTTAACCAGCACAAATTCTCTTTTCCAAGGTGAATTTCAGCAGATGTGAGAGGTAGAGATCATCAGATGCAGCATCACAGGCTTTCCGTGGCAGGGAGTGTACGTATTTACGGCAGGGCAAAAAGGAAAGAGATGGAAACAAAAAGCACAGCAAACAAGGAAAATAAACACTGAATGCAACTGAAAAGACAGGCAAACGTAATAAGAACTTGCATGCTTAATTTATTGGCAAAAAAAAAGTACTCTGAGGAAGTGACATGTCAGGAGCCCACTTCCATTTTTAAAAACAAGACAGTATTCTTGCTTTAACTTGCTTTTTAATTATCAACATTAGGGTCCAGTGTTAAACACTTAACAAGTAACTTTGAGTATGCTCCTGTGTATTTCAAATGGTAGGATACAATAAAGATATTCAGATAATTTATAATGGGGTGTAATAGCCCAAAGTCCAGGGCAAATGGGTAAAAGAGCTCCAGGAGTCTTATCTTCCAAATAGTTTATCCTTTAATACAGTGATATGAGACATTTTAAATGGAGACAAAACTCACAGTAATGCATTGTTCAGTATCATTACTTCAACCTAACAGAACTAAGTGCATTATTTCTGTCCCTCAAGAGTTATCTTGCTCCCAGGAACAGTAATAAACTCCCCTCATAAGTTCGAGGTAACATATACAAAGCACTTTATTTGACCTTAATATAGACCTCAAGTCTCAGCCTGTGATGTATTTGCACGTCAAACAAGAATAAGCACTCAGTTAATAAAGATCAGAGGAAGTCGTCTGTTGTGGGCTGAGCAACAGAACCAGACATTTCGGGACATGGACACTTCTTCTCCCTTCATACAACCTGGTAGCCAGCTACACGTTTAAATGTCATTCAGAATGCCAAATATAAATGTATATATGACAAGACCATCCCTAAAATTACACAGGAAATAAACCGTGCACCTCATGCCCCAGGAAGTACTGCTACTGATATTGCAAGGACGAGACAGGTTATCCCTTACCCCAGAGGAACCTTCAGTGCCCCAGGAAGTACTGCTACTGATATTGCAGGGACAAGACAGGTTATCCCTTACCCCAGAGCAACCTTCAGAAAAAAAAACATTATATTTTTACTTGTATCAGCTACTAATATATCTAATATCATACTAATATTCCAATTTCATTTCAAGCAGCTGCGCTTTTTTTTTTTAATGCAAGAACTCTAATATTCCAATTTCATTTCAAGCAGCTGCACTTTTTTTAAATGCAAGAACCGGTCCATTTCTCCAGCATCCACTGACAAACATAAGTTATTTCTGCTTTACTGGTAACTGTCCATAATGTTTTCATCCAACAAATCAAGAACTGCAAAACAATTCAGTGCCAGGAGAGGTATCCATTCTACAATCAAGAACTGCAAAACAATTCAGTGCCAGCTCAGCCAGGAGAGGTATCCATTCTATGTATCGCAGGCTCCATTCTTCCAATAGCACAAACTGGAGACAGAAAATGTAATAACTGTTGGGCTTAAAAGCAAGTAAACAGGATGCTGACATTTGGAGGGCTCACAACAAGACCATTACAAATTACAGCAACTAAGTCATAGGAAGAATATGCCCCAGATACGGCCTGTGGAAGCTCAGATAGTCTAATAGACACCATGAAGTCATAATTTCCAGCTACTCCGGACTTTTTTAATACCGAGGCAAATTTACCATCCCTTAGTTTTTAATCCAAAGTACACTCTGTTTGTTTTGTTAAGTCTGATCCAAACAGATTCATCTGTTTTTTAATGCAAACAGGGGCTGCTTGGGAGAACGGGAAAGTTCTTTTCCTCATTTGAAGCAGTGTGACATTCAGGTTTTGTTTTTTGTTGTGTTTTTTTTTTGTTTTCTTAAGACTAGCTAATCACACAAACGACAGAGGGAGGGCAAAACAAATGTTCACATTTCATCAGGAATCTAGTTCTGGCAGTACAGACTCATCTTCAGTTGTCCTGATGAAAAAATACCACTTGGAAAGAAGTGTGGTCCGAAGAGAACCTTCTAAAGCACACAAAAGTTTGATTTAAAAGAACATATATTTTAAATTTGCATTTAGGAAACTTTAAATGCCAGAGTAGGCACATCAGTCTGAAGCAAGCCTGAAGGGCACAGTGGCACTATGGCTTGCAGAGCCTCAGGATACACAGCCAGCTGCCAGTATCAGGCAGAGAATTTCCAACATGGATTTTGGGGGGTTCTTGAGGGGTATAAAGCAGTTAATAAATCATGCGCTCAAATTAGCAAATGCAAGATTTACAGATGATAGTGCAACCTTAATTCTGGCTGCTAATGTGTGTGCATTATATTACAGACTTTAATTACCCAAGCGCACGCAGCCTTTCCCTCTG